TCACTTTCCCTCTCTCTGTGTGTGTATCTCTCTCTGGTCAAATGAAAATAAATGAATGAATAAATAAAATTAAATAAATAATTATTTAAAATCATAATAATAATGAATGGAATTAAATAAATGAATAATTCTTTAAAAAAAAAAAAGATTAAAATGTATTGCTGGGCCAGCCCATGGTGTGGTGGTGAAGGTGAACAGATACCACAAGGCCAACCCCATGATTTGAGTCCTGGACCTGGGAGCTTGAGAAACACATGAGGTACATGTGCATGTATGCCCAAAATCCCCAAAGGAGGAAGAGATGGAGGAGAAGATATTGTGGCATGACCGTTCTCCATGGGAGGTGCTTTCTTACTTTCTCTCTCTCTCTCTCTCTCTCTTTCTCTGGCAAGTGCACATACCCTCTAGTAAAACTAGAACAAAAAAAGCATTGCCAACATCAAGGTGCAAAGATAAACAGGACGAAATTCTTTCTCATGGAATACATTTTTAAGTATGTGAACTGCTCTGACATAGTCAGAGTCCAGCATCTGTGGCCCCAACTATGAACATGCGCCTAATAGTCCTCTCCTATCATAACTATACCAACCAAAAGTGCCCCACTGATTTCCAAAACACCTTTCCAATGGAGTGCTACTACTATAAAGAGCCACCAGCATGTAGGACTGAGAACAAGAACCTTAGCTCACCAGAATTGGGCTCTGGCCTTCCTCTCCAGCCTCCTCTGCAACCACACAGCCTTCTAAAATAAAGCACGAGGCCAGCCTGCGACCTGGTGGTTAAGACGGCTGGATTCCACATGGCCAATCGTGTGATTTAAGTCCCAGACTCAGGGCTTGAGAAACACGCTGGGCACATGTGTGTTCCAAAAGGAAGAAGAAATGAAGAAGGGGATTGCATCATGACCAGTCCCCAAGGGGACTGCTTTCTCCTCTGCATCTCTCTCTGTCTCTGATGAGTGGGAGCATCCTCTGGCAAAAATCCAAAAAGAAAATACAGAACTGGACTAGCAGGTGGCGTGGCAGTTGGGGCGCTGGCTTTCTGCATGACCAACCAGTCCTGGGTCTGGTGCTTTAAAATTCATGTGGGTTGGGGGAGGGGACAGTGGTGGGAGGGCAACAGATGATGTAGTGGTATGTCACTGGACTCTCTTTAATGTCGACCGTGGTTCGAGTCCCAGACCTGGTGGCCTCAAACTCAAACTGGGTATATGTGAGTGCATGCCCAAGATCCCTGAAGGAGAATAGAGAAGGGATTGTGGAATGGCTATGCCCTCTGGGGGTGGTGATTTCTCACTTTCCCCCTCACTATCTCTCCCTCTCTCTCTCTCCAGTGAGGGCACTGGCCATATGGCAAAAACCTAAACACACACACACACACACACACACACACACACACACATGCACACACACACACAAACAAACCAGAGCTATATGTAGATCCCTAAGTGATCCACTTCATTCCAAAGAGTTTTCCATTAGCCTGAAATGTCTTCTTATTCTTCTTCAAGGCTTTTCCAGGCCACTTTTCATCATCTTTAATTCAATACATTGCCTTTAAAGTAGGTAGTTACTCGGCCAGCCAGTCATATGGTGGTTAAGGCAGCTGGATCCCACATGGCCAACTATACTGTTCAAGTACTAGACCTGGTGGCTTGAAAAATCACACCTGTCATGTATATATACGAGCCCCAAAGCCAAGATGGGAGGGAAGGAGAAGGGATTGTGGTGTGGCCATTGCCCTGGGAGAGGGGATGACTTGTCATTTCCTTCCTTGTCTCCCATTCGCTGTCTCTTCAACAAGTGCACATACCTTATAGCAAATTTTTAATAAGGAAAGAAGGAAGGAAAGGTATTTAATTTCTATCTACCCATTATTTTATGTATTCCATAAGGGAAAGAAATGCATTGTGTTTAAATTCTGTACCTCAACACTGACAATACATTTCAGGTGTCAAATAAATGTTTTCTTAATGAACAAGAGTACAGATGAAGGAAAAATAATAATTCCCTGACACTGTAGGCAAAGTCGGGACAATGGCTTGCGGGATGGATTTAGTGGCAGAAAACTTGCACTTGTGAGCAATGGACTCAGTCAGGCCCCACATGCCCTCCCACCCGTCAGGCCTCACCTGTGTCACAACCAGTCTCTCTTCTGCACCTCCACTCTGCATTACAGAGTCCATGATATCCTGCTCCCTTGGTTATTTAGGAACTTAGTCCAATTCAGTGAAATCTCAGGTCCAATGCGGACCTCACCTCCTTTCTTCCAGCCCAGTCTTGAGCCATGGCTTAAGGAACCTGAAGTGGGAAGGAGACCAAAGTTCCTTCTATGGCTTCTCCTCCTCTTCTTCTAGTTCTCTGAAAGCTTCTCTACAAAGGTTCTTACTCTGGGGACCAGAAGATAGTGTAATGGTTACGTCACTGGACTCCCACATAGTCGACAACGGTTTGAGTCCTAGACCTGGCAGCTTGAAACTCACGCCAGGCACATGTGCGTGCATGCCCAAAATCCTGAGAGGAGAATGGAGAAGGGGTTGTGGCATGGCCATCCCCTCCTAGGGGGTGATTTCTTGCTTTCTGTCTCTCTCTCTCTGTCTCTCCGGCGAGTACCCACGCCCTACAGCAAAACACTCTCTCTAAAAAAAATAAGATTCTCACTCTTCAGCAGTTGGGATTGAAAGAGAGCAGGAAGGAGAGAGGGACAATTGTCTCTTTATTTAACAGGGTAGTTACTGCAAACCGTGGGTCCTAGTGAGTCATTTGGCAAATGTCAAAATGCCGGCTCTCTTTTGGCACACTTGTGTAAGCTGTTCAGAGGTCCTGTGGGGCCTCCGCACTGAGTTGTGGGAGGTGATCCTGCTCCAGTTCATCTCTTTTACCCCCTCCTTGCTTCTGTCCCATAGGCAGCCTTTTGGATGGGTGACCAACGAGATGGCACTAGCTCAGCTATATTCTTTCTTCAGCGTCCCTTTAACCATAGAAATCCATGGATCCTTGCTGAGCCAAACAAGGAATACAGGCGATTCAGCTACTGCTCCTTCATTCTGCCTGCCACCACTCTCTAGTTGCCTTTCCTCCTCTCAGAGGTACAGAGTGAGAAAATCTACCATCTAAACAGGTAGTCTAGCCAGAAATGAGAAATCAGTCTCTCTTTCATGTAGATTCTCTTTGATACCCGTTTGTTTAGGACGGGAGAGTACTCCCTGCCAAGCTCATGACTCCCTCCCTTAAGTCACCTTATACGTTAATCAGATGGGGGATGCAGGTGTGGATGTGAGGAATAGGTTGGTCTAATGGTTGGAGGAAGCTGAGCCAGTTCTAGAGAGGGCGACTGATCCCAATGACTAGTAATTCTCTATGGCATGTGGGTACTTAGTATTTCCTTGTCCCCGCCTTTGAACCCAAGTCACCAATTCCAGGGCAACATGAAAAATTCCAGAATACAATGAAGTGAAGGGAAGGTGATGAAATAAGGAGCCCAACTGTATTCTAAATGAGGAGTCAAGGTCATTTAAGTGGGAAAGAATCAGAATTTGATGATTCGGTCAGAATACAGAAAGATCAGACAGAGGCAAACTAGGGATACACTGTTGGGTGAAAACCATGAACACTTTCTTCCTGCTTAAAAAAAAAAATAGCACACGGGACCAGAAATTGGCATAATGGCCATGTTGCTGGACTCCCATATAGCCGATCGCAGTTTGAGTCCTGGACCTGGTGGCTTAAACTCATGTTGGGTGCGTGTGCGTGCATGCCCAAGATCCTAGAAGGAAAATGGAGAAGGGATTGCGGTGTGGCCATCTTCCCCTGGGAGGTGGCGGGTATGGTTTATTGCTTTCTGACTCTCTGTCTCTTTCTGGCGACCACACAAGCCCTATAGCAAAAACCTTTCACAAAAAAGAAAAAATCTGGGACTAGCAGATGGCATAATGGTTACATTGGTGGACTCTCACATAGTCAACCATGGTTTGAGACCCAGACCTGGCAGCTTAAAACTCACAGTGGGTGCATGTGCATGCATGCCCCAAATCCCAAGAGAATGGAGAAGGCATTGCTGTGTGACTATCCCCCACTGGGGGGTGATTTCTCTCTTCCTGTCTCTCTGCCTTTCGGGTGAGCACATAGGCTCTATAGCAAAAATCTCCCTCTAGGGGCTGGCAGGTGGCGTGGTACTTGAGGGTGCTGGATCCCACATGGCAGACCATGGTTCGAGTCCTGGACCTGGCAGCGTGCTTTCTCACTTTCTTTTTCTCTATCTCTCTCTAGTAAATTGAAATTATAATAACAACTGGAATTAAATAAATGTATAATTCTTTATAAAAATCTCACTCTAAAAAAGAGAGAAGGAAAAAAACTAGCTAAAGAAAACAACTGTAGATTTAGCTTTAAAGATACTCACTGCAATACTGTTTCTAATAATGAAAAATTAAGGAAGATCTAAATTCCTTTTTACTTTTTGTTTTTAATTTGCCAGAGGGCACATGGACTTGCTAGAGAGAGAGAGAAGAGAGAGGGAGAGAGACAGATAGCATCCCCAACAGGGTCTTGACATAGAGACTCATCCCCAGCTTAAGCCTGTACTGGATCATGGGTACACCCATGCCTAGTGTACGTGTGAAGCCTATGAATAGGATGCAGAACCTTCCCACATGGGTCAGCCTAGTAGATCATCTCATTTTTACTGTTGTACCACCATCTGACTCTTTTATACAATCCTACCATAATTAGTATTCAGCTCAATAAATACTCATTGAATGGAATGGAATAGTTTAAGGCCAACCCCATACAATGGCAGTGAAGCACTGTATACAGAGAGCCAGATCCCACATAGCATACCACAGTTCAAATCCTGGCCCCAGTGAGATGAAAAACATAATGGCTGCATGTGCAAGTGTGCCCCAAATCCTGAGAGGTTTAAGAAATGGAAGAACTACAGCCTGACCCCATCCCAATGGGAGGTGATCTCTCTCTCTCTCTCTCTCTCTCTCATGAGCCCATGCACCCTCTGATAAGTTTTTTTTTTTTAATTTCAAGTACTGAATAGACTACTGGACAATTTTTATAAACTAGATAAGAAGTTGCTAGATAAGGAAGTAAAGTTGCAACTTTATAGATAATAGTGAGTTCCTCCATTTACACTTCAATCCCATTTGACACTACTGACTATCACCTTAAAACTCTTACCATGGCTACTAGGACATCTCACACACTCAGTCATCCTTCCACCTCAATGTCAAAATGATCTCTCACCATAGGGAAGCTCTTCTTCCTCCTCTGAACTGTGGGCTTGCCCTCTAGGCTCTAGTCCTCAAATTTCTGCATTCTTCTTTCCAGATTCATTTCCTTGGTGAATTCAGTCTCATCATGGCATTGCCTATCACCTCAATGCACATAACTTCCGTATAAAATGACCTTAACTGCATGGGCGTGGGTATGTGTGATGACAGTGCTACATATTTAAAGCATTTTGACATTGCACAACAGTAATGATTAGCATTGTACAGTACAACTCCCCCAGGTAAAAGGCTGCTCAGAGGATATGAGGCAGAGCTAGCTGTTGGCATCAACGGTAGTGAATTTCTTCTCCTCCCCATAAAGCAAACCAAGTAAAAATACTCCATACACAGAAAAAAGTCACCAAAACATGTGTTTAAAGTTCTCAGGGGAATGGTATTATACCTGGTTCAGGGATGGAAGAAACTAAATAGAGGTAATAATTGGCCAATGGAAGTAAGAAATTAGACTTCACCAAAATTTGCTCTAAAAAGACATCATATTGAGGGAAAATACTGTTAATTCAAATATTCACAAATAACTTGTATCCAGAAAATATAAAGACTTAAAACTCAATAACAAGAAGTCAAACATTCAATTTTTTTAAATGAGCAAATAATTTGAATATATAAGAGACACTGGTGGCAAATAAGCACATCTAAAGATGCTTAATATCATTCATCAGAGAAATCAAAATTGAAACCACAAGATTCCATTGTACACCTACTAAAGTGATTATTTAAAAAAATGACAATAGTAAGTGCTGACAGGATGCAGAGAACTGTAACACTCATACGGTGCTGGTAAGAGTAAAATTATACGGTCAGCTTGGAATACAGTTGGGCAGGTTTTTGTTGTTGTTGTTGTTGTTTTAATCAGGTACAACAACCTACCACAGGAGGTCCTAAGATTTTACTCAAATATTCACAAATAACTTGTATCCAGAAAATATAAAGACTTAAAACTCAATAACAAGAAGTCAAACATTCAATTTTTTTAAATGAGCAAATAATTTGAATATATAAGAGACACTGGTGGCAAATAAGCACATCTAAAGATGCTTAATATCATTCATCAGAGAAATCAAAATTGAAACCACAAGATTCCATTGTACACCTACTAAAGTGATTATTTAAAAAAATGACAATAGTAAGTGCTGACAGGATGCAGAGAACTGTAACACTCATACGGTGCTGGTAAGAGTAAAATTATACGGTCAGCTTGGAATACAGTTGGGCAGGTTTTTGTTGTTGTTGTTGTTTTAATCAGGTAAAACATTCACCTACCACAGGTCCTAAGATTTTACTCCTAGGAATTTATCCAAGGAAAATACAAGCATATATCCATAAAAAGAAAAATATAAGCATATAATCCCTAAACTGTATGATCATAGCAGTTTCCAAAAAGTAAAAAACAGCCCAAACATCCATCAATAGATTACAACACATGAATGACTAAAAAAATTGCAATACTTCCATGCAATGAGACATAATTCAGCAATACAAAAATGCAAACTATTGATCTACACAAAAACATGAACAAAAATAGTGTGCTGAATTGAAGAAGCCAAATACAGGATACACGCTCCGTAACTCCATTTATATAAAGTTTACAATAGGCAAAACAAATCTATAATGACCAAACCCAGATCAGTAGACATCTGGGGTGGGTGAGAATGATTGCCAAGAATCATAAAGAAATTTGGAAGGGGGGAGCTGGCAAGTGGCATGGTGGCTGAGGGCGCTGGACTCCCACATGGCCGACCATGGTTCAAGTCCTGGACCTGATGGCTTGCTTTCTCACCTTTTCCCACTCTGTCACTCTCTGGTCAAATTAGAATAAATAAATAAAGTTAAATAAAATCGTCTTTAAAAAAGAAAAAAAAAGAAATTCAGAAGGGGGTTGGATGGCAGACGTGTTCCATATCTTGACTGGGGAGATGAGTACACAGTACACATATGTCAAAATTTACTAAATTATATATTTAAAATGGGTACATCTTCTTGTGTGTAAATTACATTTTAATAAAGTCGAAAAATATTTATTTTGAAGCAGTTAAGGAGTCCTTTTAATGTCATCTTTGTTATCAATAATGGCTGGCCAACAAATCATTACAGAGGTTAATCAGTCTGTTGGTAGTATGGAATTATCTTTGTTCTATCAGCCTTCTGAAACAGACCAGAGGAATAGGTTCTGTCCAGTGGAAATAATGGAGATCAGGATTTTTTTTTCCAATCCACAGGAGTTAAGAGTATGAATTGGCACACTCTCTCATGACTAACCTAAGTTAAAATTTTCAGTATCAGGCCCAAGCTATAATAAGAGATGAGATAAGCCATTTTATATTAGAAAGTTAATGCTTAAAAAATGAAGAATCCTCAGGGCTGGGCAGGTGGCATGGTGGTTAAAGGCGCTGGATTCCCACATGGCCGACCACAGTTTGAGTCCCAGACCTGGCAGCTTGCTTTCTCCCTTTTCCTTTCTCTGTCACTCTCAGGTCAGATTAAAAAATAATAATAACAAATGTAATTAATTAAATAATTCTTTTTTAAAAAAAAGTGAAAAATCCTCATTGTTTGGAAACAGAACACTTTTAGTACCTAACCTGATTGAGGCCTAGACCTTCCAAAGAAGGCAGAGAATCATCTGGCATATATACTGGCAGGACCCCTCCACCCTATACCCATGCACAGAGGAGACAGACAGAAGTATCTCCTTGGCCATTATATATATGGCAGAAATACACACACACACACACAGATTACAAAACATTTTGACTCCCAGCAAACTATGACAACATCTAACTGGATAGAATGGTTTGAGTATGGTTTTTCCCCTACAAGGTCATGTGCTAGAATACTAGTCACCAGCATAATGGTGTTGAGAGGGAGTGAAACCATTAGAAGACGGGGCCTAGGCTAGTGGGCCATGCTTGGATGATGGGGGACTGCTCTCAGAAATAGATTTAATGCTATCTTGTGATGGGAGGGAGTTCTTGCACTCACTGTAATTCTTATCAGAGTTGGTTGTTGTAAAAGTAAGATGGCCACCCACAGATTAATCACTCTTTGTATGTTCTGACCTTCCCACTTCTGTCTGTGTGTTGCAACATAGAATCAGAGACCAGACAGATCCTGGCCCCAAGTTTTAGACTTTCCAGCAAGCAGAATCATAAACAAAATAAACCTCTATTCTTTTTTTTTTAATTGCCAGCGGGCATTTGTGTTTGCCAGAAAGAGACAGACAGACATACAGGGAGAGGAAGAAGTCACTCCCCAATGGGGCATGATCACACAATCCCTTCTCTATTTCTCTATTCTGTTAGGATCTGGGGCATGCACACACACATGCCTGGTGTGTTTCTCAAGCCACCAGGCCTTTGGATGCAAACTGCAGTCAGCCATATGGAATCTGGCTTCCTTAACCACTAGGCCATGGGGCTGGCCAAAAACGTCTATTCTTTATAAATCACCCAGTCTCAGGTATTTCTTTTTAGCAAGACAGTAATGGACTAACATACTGAGGATGTAAAAACATCTAAGACTCAAGGTCCAATGAAGCAGGTGATAAATAAAATAAATACATGGAACCATCCTGACTCCAAAGCTCGCAGTCTAACAAGTCCTAGGAAAATGCAATCCTCGTCATTACAAAATTCAGTAATCACAAAGGCACCATGGAATATCAGTGCTAGAACAAATGCTTCATTCACCATTCCCCAGCCTACCCATTCCACGTGCTACTGCCATGTCTGTGAAATCAGGGTCTGTGGCTTGTGCTGGCTATCTGCCAATCTGGGCAGTTTGGGGAAGGGGAGGAGGAAGTATGACTGAGTCCCCAAAGAGAAAGCAAGCCAGTACAGCCACAGTCCGTGATGCCTGTGGGAGCACTGAGCCTTCACGGTTTCCTGTGCTCCAGTTGTCTTGGTAACCTGAGGCCTCCCTATTTGTGTTGGCCTCATGGTGCCAAGAGCGGAAGCAAAGCTAGAGTACCAGGAAGACTTGCAGGGAAAAAATGTGGGTAATGCAGCAGTTATGCCACAGGAGGGTCAAGCTCAGGGCATAAGAATGACCCGGTTGCCTCTGG